GCATGTTGCGGCAGCGCGGGGGGCAGAAAAGACCTCCACGGCGCTCATGATCGCCGGAGCAGACCCGAATCTGCGTGATTGGGAGGATTCCAGTCCACTCCACCGCTCTGCCGAAGCCGGGCATGACGGAGTTGTTGGCAACCTTAGTCTGAAATGGGCCCAAGTAGATGCGCAAGCGCATTTCGGCCGCACTCCTCTCCACCTGGCTGCTTCCGAGGGACATAAGCTGTGTATCTCTGAGCTTTTGCTGGGCGGTGCAGAGAAGGACGTGGCCGATGGTAGCGGTGAAACGCCACTTTTCAAAGCGGTAGAAAACAATCATCTCCGAGGTGTCGAGAAGCTGCTAGCTGCCGGTGCCGACCGCGGCCTTCGCGCCAACAACGGATGCTCTCCACTAGAGATTGTTGCAATCAGTGGTCACGCAACCATCGTGAAAGCCTTCCTTGATGAAGATAGCCATGCAGTCGACGCCACCGATGATTAGGATGGACATCCCTGCACTGCTGTGCTACTGCTTTTGAAGATACACCAGTCGGCGACAACGGCGATGCTCTCCGTGTACTGTTGGAAGCCGGGGCTGATGTCGACGCGAAGACAACCGCCAGCAGTTGCTCCACTCTGCATGTTGACGTAGCTCGTCAGATAGCATCGACCGGGACGATCCGCGCCCTGTTGGAGGGAGGGACAAGTGTCAATGTGCGTGACGACGTCAACGAGACTCCACTGCACACAGCCTGCAAGAATTCAGTGTAACTGGTGTGGAGCTTCTGCTGGGTTGGGGAGCAGATGAGAAACTCACGGACAACAATGGGCACACCCCTGCAGACGTGATAGGAGACTCGGAAGAGCACGGCAATAACGACGAAGAAATCGAGGTCGACAACGAACGCGTTCGCCGAATGCTGGCACGCGCTCCAGCCGATAGGTCGTGGCGTCGCCGCGGGTGGCTGGTGCTGAGTCGTTCCTGCCCGGCCAGGGTGCAGATCGCAAACGGCAGCAGCAGCGACATATGTATCGGCAGCAGCAAGGGTTGCTCCGCCAAGGAGGCACGGGTCAGTAGCGAGGATTCTGGCGGGGATCAGGAGGCGAAAGACCAAATGATGATGGACTGGAGGGGGTTGGTGGGCAGGCTGGTCGGACTGGAGGCTGATGGCTTCTTCCGCTTGGTGGTTGGGCTTCCTGTGAGGTACGGGGTTTGCTGTGGGGTTGATGGTTATTTCGTTGGCATCGAAGCTGAGACGGTGGACGTATTCTCGTGAGTACTGCTGTGCACAAGCTTAGGATTTGCGGCATGTGTTTATCTCGAATGCTTTACATCACCACTTCCTTTGTCTTGACATACAAGGGGGCTTGATGTAAGTGGCCCCCACGTAGTTTCTATGCAGATATGATGGATAATCTGTGCATCGTCTCGCGCAGCGTGCGGGTAAAATCTGAACGAATGTCATTTGTTGGAAACAATCGTTCTGGGTTGCGAAACGAACGAGGGTTTACAGCGGTTTCGGCCGAAGAAGAAGTATCCAAATATCTAATGCTGTCACGCCCGATCTTGTGGGATGTCTCTTTCATCTGTCGGGAGCGAGAGGTAACTACTGCAGCTCCCTTCTCTTTGGGCTGTGTGCTGTGATGTGTTGTGGGGGACTGTGCTCCAGCCTGTAGCGAACCCATTGATGTCGTGCTGTAGCTGGCCATGCCACTCAGAAGTCTAGTTGATGCGTCCATTCGACTTGTACGAATCTGTTGTCCTGTGCGCACCACGGGCGGTTCAATCCATGTTTTTTCTGTGTGGCGATTTCCGGATTGCAACACTGCCGCGCTCTCTTCCTTTTTTTGATGACATTGACGGCGTGGAACTACTTGCAAGAGCATGTAGTATCTCCGTTGCTCTTGCATGCTTGGGGAGACGGAATGACCCCACATTGTGCTGTCGATAGGTATGCCTCTGACCACGCTTCTGTTTTACCCCATGACTCCGAAAAATTGGTTTCAAACGCTGGAAGAGGTCGGAGCGGTGTCCTCTTCTCAAGCCAAACGTAGCCGTCAGACTCTTCACTCCAAGCGGTGGCGACTGGACTGCTGTTCCGATGGTGCAAATGCCGGCTGCAGAGCTGGTACGGAGCAGGTGTGACAGGACTGAACTCCGCGCGAGCTGAATCTTGTCTGTCGCTTGAGAATGGAGTTTTTATGTGCGAGAGGGTTTCCTCTCTGTTTTTTTCCCGGATTATTGTTGCTCGAACACGCTCCGGCCACCGTACAACACGCTGCTGATTTTCTCGGTGTGTGCAAGTTTCTGCACTTTTTTCGAATGTTGTTGTTTGTTTTCTGTCTACTCGATTCATTTGCGCCTGTGGTTAGGATGTTCTATTTCGTGCTTTCGCCAGGTACAAGCGAGACCTGTGACGAGTTCGCACTCAAGCCTTGATACCTTGTTGATACCGGCAGGACATGAGCCGGGCACTAGCAACGACGTTAATTGTACACTCGGAGCATTTTGAACACGGGGTGGACCACGCCTGTTGCGTAGACGCTCGCCAATCCTTTGTCTGGCAGCTTCCCCGCAACTTGTTTGCAGTTTGGGCTGGGTAGCTTGGGGTCGCACATCAACCCAAAGGTGGGCATTCATCTACGTATGGTTGAATTTCCGAGGGGGGCTTCGTTGGTCGAGAGGGGCGTCTTGTGTCCTCTTGCCGTAGCACTCATCTCTTATCTGGTGCTTCTGGTGCTGGGTCTGTCATAAGAAACTTGTTTAACGTATATAACTCTCGGTGGGGCGGGGGAGGTGTTGGATGTAAGGTAGGTACGTCGCGGTGCTGGTGTTCATACCTGGAGCACCTGGGATGGTTTCGTTGTGTCGCATTGTTTTGTGGTGGAAGGGGGGGGGGGGGCGTGG